TTTATAAGCTGCCTAGAAGGTTTCACCTTCATTTTTACTGCTTGCCCATCCTCCTCACACTTAGAGCCTGGTGGTACAGATGCATTGCTGTTCAATCAATCATACAGTTTGTAGTGTACATAGATTTGCAAAACTATTTACTAAGTCTGCATTACTATTAATCCTCCCATCCTTCCTTTCACCCATCCCCTCCCACTTGTGACTGTATGACTGTAACCTTGTCGCTTGTATCCTTACAATTTATATTGACTGTTTCCTAGTATGATTTGATTGCTTATTGTACCCTATGACTATTATTCAGTGTTGTACCTTATGAATCTTGACTTTTGACAAATGTATCTTTTCTTTTATGTACACTGAGAGCATATGCACCAAGACAAATTCCTTGTGTGTCCAATCATACTTGGCCAATAAAGAATTCTATTCTGTTCTGTTCTGTTCTGTTCTCTATTCTCTATATTATTCTAACTCAGGAGAAAATTCCAGAAAATAAAATACAAGAATATTTGGAACAATCTGAACTCCCTAAAGTATCCAAAACAGTTAAAGCTTAAACAGTTAAATGAACCAATAACCATGATGGAATTGACAGAAGCGATTAAGAGACAAAATAATAAAACACCAGGGCCTGATGGGCTACCGGCAGAATTTTATAAACTACAAGGTATATTGGGCCCGGTTATGTTGGAAGTTTATAATGAAGTTCTGCTAGAAGCAAAAGTACCAAATTCATGGATGGAAGCAAATATTACTCTTATACTGAAAGATGATTCAGATTCAACTGTTGAATGCGGATTATAAAATATATCCTTTGATAATAGCAGAGATTAAAAAGGGTTTTGAATGAATTTATACATTTAGATCAGAATAGATTCTTGCCAAAGGGACAGATTAAAAATAACATGAGAATGATTTTAAATACATTGGAGTATTATGAAACACACCCTGGAAAGCAAATGATGTTGATTTTCCTAGATGCACAGAAAGCATTTGACGTTAATTGGCAATTTATGTTATTACAATTAAAATATGTGGACTTGGGAGAGAGATTTATTAATATGATTAAAGCAATATATCACAATCAATCAGCTACAGTGATGATAAATGGGGACATGACAGAGACCTTTGATATAAAAAGAGACAGACAAGATAACTCCTTGCTTAAAAGTCTGTGCTGACCAATTGGCCCCCATCTTCACCCGAATCTTCAATAGATCACTAGAGATGTGCTATGTTCCTTCTTGCTTCAAACACTCTACTATCATCCCAGTGCCAAAGAAGCCCTCCATCAGGGAACTGAATGACTATAGTCCAGTTGCTCTAACATCTGTAGTTATGAAAACCTTTGAAAGGCTAGTGCTGTCCCACCTAAAAACCATCATGGATCCTCTGTTAGATCCCATGCAGTTTGCATACCGAGCAAATAGGTCAACAGATGATGCTGTTAATATGGCTCTGCACTACATCCTACAACACCTTGAATCTCCAAAGACCTACGCAAGGGTCCTCTTTGTAGACTTCAGTTCAGCATTCAATACCATCATTCCAGACATTCTTCTAACTAAACTAAACCAGATAGCGGTACCTGAACACACTTGTAAGTGGATCATAAGCTTCCTAACAGACAGGAAGCAGCAGGTGGAAGCTAGGCAGAATCACATCTGATACCTGTACAATTAGCACAGGGTCTGCCCAAGGCTGTGTGCTTTCTCCACTTCTCTTCTCCCTATATACCAATGACTGCATCTCAAACAATCCATCCGTTAAAATACTGAAGTTTGCAGATGATACAACAGTGATTGGTCTCATTCAAGACAACAACAAATCCGCATACAGATGGAAGGTTGTACAACTTGCCTCGTGGTGTAACTGGAACAATCTGGAACTGAACACACTCAAAACCGTAGAAATGGTGGTAGACTTTAGGAGAAACCCTCCCATACTACCACCTCTTACAATACTAGACAACACAGTATCAACAGTAGAGACCTTCAAATTGCTTGGTTCTATCATATCACAAGACCAAAAATGGACACCTAACGTCAAAAATGTCATCAAAAAAGCACAACAAAGAATGTTCTTTATGCGCCAACTCAGAAAGCTCAACCTGCCCAAGGAGCTGCTGATCCAGTTCTACAGAGGAATTATTGAGTCTGTCATTTGCACCTCTATAACTGTCTGGTTGGGTTCTGCAACCCAACCAGACAGACACAGACTTCAGAGAGTAATTAGGACTGCAGAAAAAACAATTGCTACCAACCTGCCTTCCACCAAGGACCTGTATACTGCATGAGTCAAAAAGAGGGCTGTGAAAATATTTACAGACCCCTCACATCCCAGACACAAACTGTTTCAACTCCTACCCTCAAAATGACGCTATAGAGCACTGCACACCAGAACAACTAGACACAAGAACATTTTTTCCCGAATGCCATCACTCTGCTAAACAAATAATTCCCTCAACACTGTCCAACTATTTACAAAGTCTGCATTACTATTACTATTAATCTTCTCATCACTCCTTATCATCCATCCCCTCCCACTTGTGACTGTATGACTGTAACTTTGTCGCTTGTATCCTTACGGTTTATATTGACTGTTTCCAAGTATGATTTGATTGCTTATTGTACCCTATGACTATTAAGTGTTGTACCTTATGATTCTTGACAAATGTATCTTTTCTTTTATGTACACTGAGAGCATTTGCACCAAGACAAATTCCTTGTATGTCCAATCACACTTGGCCAATAAAGAATTCTATCTAAAAAAAAAAGGCACTAGACAGGGATGTCCATTGTCCCCTCTGCTATTTATACTGACTCTGGAAGTGTTAGCCAGAAATATTCGACAAGATGAAGAAATAAAAGGAATGGAAATAAAAAGAGTGAAATATAAGCTACAGGCGTTTGCAGATTACTTGGTCTTTATATTAGAAAACCCATTAGTAACTAGACAGAAGTTAATTAGAAAGATAGAAGAATATGGGGAAGTTGCAGGACTGAAAACAAAGACAAGACAAAGATTTTAGTTAAAAACCTCAGAGATACACAAAACCTGTTGATGGAAAGAACTGATATACAGTTAGTCAACAAAGTACCTAGGAATACAATTAACAGCAAAATGTGTAACAATTAAAGAGGACAATTACATGAAACTGCAACAAATTAAACTAGATTTGGAGAAATGGAAAGATCTGCAATTGTCATTAACAGGAAGAATAGCTACTATAAAATGAATATTTTACCAAGACTATTATATTTATTCCAAACACTTCCAATAAAATTGGGGAAATATTTTGAAGAACTAAATAAAATATTAAGATATATATGGTTAGGGAAAAAAGCAAGAATAGGTTTGAAAATGTTGCAAGACTGCAAAAAAAGAGGGGGCTTTGGGCTGCCAGATTGGGAATTGTACTACCAGGCCTCTGTACTTACATGGGTGAAAGAATGAATCAATTTGAGGCATAAAAGACTTTATGTTAAGTCTTTTTATATCTTTATGTAAAGACTTTAACTTTAGAAGGACCCAACCTTCAACTAAGTTGGCATGCTTTTTTATGGTATGGGAAGAATAAGATACATAGTTATTTTCAAAGACATTGTTAGAAATGCACTGTTATCAGTATGGCTTAAAATTAAAGAACAACACTTCTTAAAAATACCAGTCTGGCTTTTGACAATGGAAGCATTGATACATCCTAATGTTATTAATATGGAAAAAACTGTAAGATATAAAGATATTTTGAATGAAAAAAGGGAATTAAAAACCAAGCAGGAACTTAGCAGTCAAGGGTTGCATGGTGGCCACAAATGCAGATACAATCTCGATATGAGAAAGATGCTAAAATGGTTTCAATAATGAATTAACAGAATTGGACCAGATATTAACTGGAACGAATGAACAGCTGATAAAGAAAATATATTGTTACTTATTAGGTATTAAACTTGAAAGTGAGCAGGTAAAGGAGACAATGATTGTTTGGGCTAAAAATTTTGGATTAGACAAATGGCAGAAACTGTGGGATAGAAATTTTAAATTGACTATGTCAACTACTGATAAAGAAAATCTGTACAAAATGTTCGATAGATGGCATTTTGCACCAACAAGACTGGCAAAAATCCGTAAGGTTAGATCTGCTAAATGTTGGAAATACAATCAAATACCTGGTTCATATTACCATATGTGGTGGACATGCTCAAAAGCTAAAAAATATTGGATGAAAATACATACTTGGTTGGAAAAAACGATAGAACAGCATTTAGACATGAAACCAGAAATATGACAAAGGGACTGTATACCTGATTTTACAAGTATTAACTGCAGCTAGAATTGTATATGCTCAACAGTAGAAGTGTGATGAGATCCCAACAGATGAGAGTGTAATTAAAAAAATACTAGAATGTGCAGAAATTGATAGACTAATGCTTACTATTAAGGACAAATAAGAAACTGAATACTTTTTGATATGGGACTTATTTTATCAATGGTTAGACAATAAAAACAAGTTAGAAATGTAGGGACATAAAAGGGATAAATGTTAAAACGGAAAGTTGTTAAAATAGACAAGTTAAATATTAAAGTATTAATGTTGTGATAAATGCTATTGTAAATGTTTTGATTACAATTGCCTAAAAACAATTGTACCCAGACAACAGAGTTTGATTGAAATGGAATTGTTATGTTATACAAATAAAGTAAATAAAACACACATACAAGAACTATGGCCCAGGCCATGAGTGCCCGAATGTGCTCAGTGAAGATCCATAGCAGTTATAAGAGATAACTACTGAAGACTAAAAGCACCTTTCTCTTTTGCCACAAATCTTTCCAATTCTAATTGCATTCCAGTTCACATAACCCTAACCCAAACCAAATACATTTACATATACACACACTTATCACTCAATAGCTACATCAAAAGTAATTGCATAAACAGCAAATGAAGACTTACAATTTACTGACTTCCATACAATGCTTTCCAAAGACAACTATTAATACATTTAGTTTACTATTCATCACATGCTGAGAAATCAAGTATTACATTTTCTGTGAGTTATATCAAGCTCATATGCTTTTCTACCAAGTCAAGTCTGCCTCCAACTTCCTCAGGTTTAACTTAAATCTTCACTCTCAATTAAAAAAACCTGCACCAGTCTCCATTCCTCCTACTCCACCAAGTACCTGCCATGCACTCTAGGCTCCATAAATTACATATTCTTAACATATCCAATTGTTCTTCCATTTCTATTACAATGCCAGAAAGCATTTTCTGGACTTCAGTTTTCACATCTTATCCATTAGCACTCCATACATATATGGAGGTTATATACAGGTTCACCTCTTGCTCCACATTCCCCATTCCAGATTGAAACAGTAATTGCCTGGCTCAAATAATAGCCAGACAGTACTTAAGTCTTCTCTTTCAAAATTAGTCCCCTTCCCCCAAAACCACGCTCATAGGTTTCCTGAGTCTTTGACGTAGAGCTTCCTCCAGCAACAGCCTCAACCTTTCTAAATCTGTCACAGTTCCTCAAACTGCCTCTAGCTGCCGAAGAGGGAGCGAGCTCACGTGCCCCCCTTCCCTTACAGCCTCCTCGTAGGCCCGGTGCCGGCGTTCCCTTGCCCTACCCCTCGTCCAGTCAGGATACTGAGTGCCAACATCTTGCTGGGGTAATCAAAAGCCACCACCTCGCCTTGCAGCCGCTGCTCCTGGCAAGTCCGGCACGACACCTGACTGCCCACACTGAAGTACTCGCCCGGGGCCGCCATTTTGTTTCAGGTCCAGGCCCCTTCGCTCCCCAGTTGCGCCTCTGCAACCTTCGCCGAGGGGGAAGAAAGGAAGGTGGGAAGAAAGGGAAGCGCCGAAACCGATCCCGGTGTGTTCGACTCTTTATTTAGCCACCGGGCTCCCTCAGCCTAGGCGGCAAAAAAAAAAAAGACGAGTGTCTAAGGCGACGGGCACCCCCGTCTGTCCGCCAGTCGCTCGCGCACGCACGTGATGTCACCTCGCAAAGCGAGAAGCGGTTGGTTAGCTGTTCGGCGGTTCTTTCTTGAGGTGGGGCTCCCCTTCCAAAGTTCAGAAAGAATGTGAGGGGAGTGAGAAGCCGGTTAAAAGGGGGCGGAACTCCAGGGAATGGGGTGGTCCTGAGCCGGGGAATCTCCCGGGGGCGGGGGGGGAGGCGTTTGGGCTGGGAGCCTAGGACTTTATGCAAGTTTTCCTTGAAATAAACCCGGGTAAGATTTGCTTGAATTTGTTCTCAATAAATGGGCATAGAAATTCACCCTTACCATGAAGGGATGCGTCGCGGATATGATTGTACATACAGTTTGTGTAGTAAAGGCTGTTTCTCTCTTCGAGAGTAAATTTAACCAGCAATATAACTGCTGTCAGAATAATTTGGGGCTCCAACTTGAGTCGGGGTTGCGCAAGAATAAATAAAAATGAGATCCAGACAGCTGTGAGGAAAGAAAGTTTGCCTTCAGCGCCAGGCTGCAGAGAAATGGGCTGCAGCAGTTTTTTATAGGGGGAGCTTGTCCAGGGTGAAGTGTTGAAGGCCCCCCTCCCCAGATAGAAGAAGCATGAGGCAGCAAATAATTCAAACACAATACAAATAAATCAAATACAAATGATTAAATCACAACAGTTAAAATCCTTTCGAGCTAAAACACTAGCCTTGTCTGACTCATTTCCAGAACTGACAGCCCCAGGGGAGCTAATCAGGAAAACACTTGAGACTAACAAAACCACTGGAATATATCAACAATATAGCCAGACACGTAACACAGGGACTAACAGATAACGGGAGTTGGAAGGGACCTTATAGGTCATCTAGTCCAACCCCCCTGCCCAAGCGGGAGACCCTACACCAGTGGTGGCTAACCTTTTTGGGCTTCTGTGCCAAAAATTGTGTGCGCGCTGGTGCTCATGTACTTGCGTGCCAGCACCCAGAAGACAGTGAGCGCCCCCCCACGCCCCCTGTGCATGCACGCGCAATCCCCCCACCCCCCCTTACCTGCACTGCATCTCACAGCTGATTTTTTGCTGGTTTGAGGCCTTTTTCAGCCTCCCAGAGGCTTGAAAAAAGCCTCTGCAGGATGAATAGGCCTGTTTTGTCACTTCTGGTATTAACAGGAAGTGACAAAAGTGGCTTATTCAGCCTGTAGAGGCTTTTTTCAAGCCTCTGAAAGGCTGAAAAAGGCCTCAAACCAGCTGAAAATCATCTGTGAGGCACGCGCATGCTCAGTGAGGTAAGTTTGCCTGCGGCTCATGTGCTGGTACAATTGGCTTTGCATGCCACCTGTGGCACACGTGCCATAGGTTTGCCATCACGGCCCTACACCATTTCTGACAAATGGCAGTCCAATCTCTTCTTGAAAGTCTCAAGTGATGGCGTTCCCACAATTTCTGAGGGCAAGCTGTTCCATTGGTTTATTGTTCTCACTGTCAGAAAGTTTCTCCTTATTTCCAGGTTAAATCTCTCCTTGTTCAGTTTCATGGAGTTCAAAGACCAGTCATTTCCAGTGTGGCAAGATGTCTAACTGCCTGGGCAGCGTTTATTTTTTTTATATGATTTTTACAAGCAGACAATACAACATAGATACAGCATTAGGATTGGTGAAACCCCCCACCAATCCTTAAGAATAGTGGTGATGTTAACAGATGAGATCATTGTACCAGTCCAGCACTTACCAGCCCGGGACATGGAGTGAGATCATGTAGTGTAGGTAAAGAGGCCCATAGGTATTAAGGCACAGCAGTGTGCTGCTTGCGCCCCCTACAGGATCTACATTGCTACTACACAGTTTCCATCCATTATTGCAGGGGTCCCCAACCACCAGGCCGCGGACCAGTACCGGTCCGTGAAACATTTCCTACCGGGCCGTCAGTTTGCTGGGCACTGCCATCTTGTTTCGATGAGAAAGTGCTTCCAGGTGAGCTTTTCCGGTTGGAAAGCGGCGTTTGGGTCCTGAAGGAATCCTCGTGCCTTAGTTTCATTGAAGGGGGGGCTTCGAATGAAACTAAGGCGCGAGGATTCTTTTAGCACCCAAGGCAAGGCGAGCCGAGCGACCGTCCTGAAGCCGTCCCAAAGCGAAGCCCAGCGACAAAGGTACAAAGGAGGAATTGAAGGTGGGGAGAAGCGGGGGACAGCTGGCTGGCCAGTTGCTCGGCTTGCCTTGCCATGCATACTGATGCCGGTACTGGGCCGTAGATCATTTTGTGATGCCGGTACCGGGCCGTGGAACAAAAAAGGTTGGGGGCCACTGCATTATTGGATGGAAACTACAGGCTTGTCTGGCCTACAGGTGCTTTAGAAAATAGCTTGACCCCTTCCTCTCTGTGGCAGCCCCTCAAATATTGGAAGACTGCTATCATGTCTCCCCTGGTCCTTCTCTTCACTAGACTAGCCATGCCCAGTTCCTGGAACTGTTCCTCATATGTTTTAGTCTCCAGTCCCCTAATCACCCTGGTTAGTCTTCTCTGTACTTTTTCAAGAGTCTCAACATCTTTTTTATAATGTAGTGAACAAAACTGAATGCAGTATTCTAGATGTGGTCTTACTAAGGCTTTATAGAGTGGTATTAGTACCTCACTTGATCTCATAACACAGTAGATATTTTGTTAAACCAATTACCAAGATAAACAAGGCACAGGAACTAGTCAAATTTCCCAACTCCATTTCTTTTCAACAGAGATAAACCCTTTTTCCTTCCAAACAAAGCCAAACTATGAAAATTATCCCATCAATAGATATAGAATTAAAATGTCACCAAATACAGGATTTAATTATCAAAAGCATGTGTTAAGCTGAAAGGCTCAGAAAGAATAAATAAACTCACATTTGAATGTCAGTCTTTCTAGCGAGCCAAGAAGCCTTGCTGAATGTCACTCATCTTGGTTCCTTGTCATTAAAGCTTCTTTCCGGCAGCTCTGTTTCGTTATTCAGTTATTTCTTCAAAGCACTGATCGTTGTGTCCCAGCCAGTGGTGGGATTCAAAATTTTTTACTACTGGTTCTGTGGGCATGGCTTAGGGTCACATGACTGGGCGGGCGTGGCTTGGTGGCCGTGTGACTAGGATGGTCATGTGACTAGGATGGTCATGTGACTGGGTGGGTGTGGCCAACTCAATGTCACATCAAGGGGTGCCTTGCCTGGCCGCTCCCCTCCCAGCCATTCCTTGTCATACCCAGCCTCAGTGTATCTATAGTTCTGTAAAAATGTTGTTCACTTTTTTTTGACTTTATTATCTATCTATAGATGTACTTTCATGGACCACTGAAAGGAGGAAATGGCTCACATGCTTTCCCCAAGAGGATGATAGGCAACAGGCTTTTAGGGGGCTGCCAGAAAGAGGGGAGGCAATGTATTTTCCAAAGCACCAGAAGGATGGAAACTGAACAGAGAGAGAAGCAACCTAAAAGTAAGGAGAAACTTCCTGACAGAGAGAACAATTAACCAGTGGAATTGCTTGCCACCAGAAGTTCTGGGTGCTCAATCACTGGAAGTTTTTAACAAAAGACTGGACAGCCATTTCTCTGAAATGGTATAGAGTTCCCCCCAAGGTCCCTTCTAAGTGTTATTCGGACTCCTTTCCCAGGACCTCTATTCAGATTTTGGCATCCTCAAGAGTTTTCCTGCCTGAGCAGGGGGTTGGACTAGAAGACCTCCATAGTCCCTTTCAACTCTGTTAAACGCACCTGTATTTATGCTCCAGACTATTGACATTGAATGCATGTAAACCCTGAAAAATATGTGGTAGCCCTGGGCAAAAGAAAGGCAGCAAAATCACTTTAGGTGTCGGGACAGTGCAAAATATTAATATATGATAAATAATGGAACAATTAAAAATAATAGCACAGAGTATTCTCTCTCCCCCTTCCTTTTTTTCTTTCTCTTTCTTTCTCTCCCTTCCTCTTTCTTTCTTGCTCGCTCTTTCCTTCTTGCCCTTCCTCCCTTTCTTCCTTCCTTCCTTCCCTTGTCTCTATCTCACACACACACACCTCTTTTCTGGGAAGAACTTATGAGCAGCAAGTGGCAGGACAATGAAGAAAGCAGCAGCCCCAGAACATCCATCCGCCCTCCCTTTTGAAGCACATGGGCAGTGGCAGGCAGCGGTGGCGGCAGGTGGGTGCACCCCAAAAGGAAGGGGAAAGCAAAACCTTTCCCTTTGCTTTTCCTCCACTTTCTCTGCTCTGCTGGGCTAGGAGGGTGGTGGACGTGCCCCGAAAGGGAGGCCAGGAACTGCCGCCACCACTGCCCCCCCCGCCCTCTGGACTGGCCTAGCACCCCACCTTGGCCTCCTCCTTCCTGGAAAGGTCCCGGATGGTGGGGGGGGAGGCACGGAAAGGCCCCATGCAGTGGGCAAGGGCCTAGCATGACTCGCAGGCTTACCTGTAAGCAGGGCAGGCAGATCAGGGCTGCTCAGTTGAGGCGCAGGCACCACGCGGGGAAGTCAGGTTAGACAAGCCACAAGGGCCCAGCATGCCACATAGGAAGAGAGGAGTGACTGGGCGGGGCGAGCGGCAGGCGGGCGAGCAGCGTGAGCGAGCATCAGGTGGGTGGGGCAACTCAGCGACCAGTGACCGGGGAACCGGTTCGGAGGCGTGGCCAGCCAGAAATTATTAACGGTTCCGTGACCCACGCCTAATCACCACTACAGGTTCTCCAGAACCAGTGCAAACCGGTTGTATACCACCTCTGGTCCCAGCGGGAAGAATCTAATTGGGGAGCATTTTCTTCCAAACAGTGTCTACATGCTGATTCTAGGCTTTGTTGGAAGAAATTTTCCCAGTTCGTTCCCAGCTGGGACATACCACAGGCACTGAGAAGAAATGGATGCAGAAGCCAGCTGCCAGAAAGTGGAATTCTTTTAATGTAGGAAGGCAAGAAGCAAAAAGTGACACAGCTCAAGCATTCCCCTGGCTTGCAAGCAGATTGGGGGTGTGACTCTGAGCCTTTTATGTTTAATTCCCCTTTGAAGCTCCTGCAGCTTGATGGGTTTATTTGT